ATAGAATAGAATAGACTGACCAAGATGGTTCACAGTTTCTTTTTTTAACTAGGTTATTTATAATGTATTTCTGAACCACTTGGCAGACAAATTCACAACACTTAATGTTCATATTTTGAGTAAAGGAAGCTAAAACCATGTTTGCTTTCTGGTACTACATGCATTAGCAAAAGGTTAAGTAAGTTTTGTTCTCCACTGAAGTAATACTTAACATCTCAGAAAAAATCTTGCATGTTCTGTAGTTTTGTATTAAATCAGTCATTTCATATGCACTATATCAAGTACAAACAGGTAGTTTACCTGTTTATAGTAGTGTACTAACAAAGTCTCCCTTGCAGCTTCAGACTGGTATCTATAGGCTTATCGTTCAAATACAGCACTTGAATATCCCAAGTAGTTCTTCTACGCATAGCTCACCTTTCTAAACCCAGTTAAGCATGGAAGAGAGGTAGTAGGTAGGTGCAGTGTGTGGAAGCTGCAGACAAGTAGGCCTTTTATTCATTGATTTCTTTTCCCAAGTACTGGATTTTAAATCTATATGTATCTATTTGATTTTTTTCCTAATATTTCAATTGAGCTGCTGTTTTCTTCCATGCAATATTGTATACTCAATTGTGTATAGAAGAAGCTGGTGAGAGTGCCCTCCTACATAAATAAGCAATTGCAGTGTTTTGCATGCAAAATATAAAAAATTTAAATTGTCCTGATTCTATTTTGTAAATGGAGAAACAATCATATCTTTCTAAGCAGTAATGGAGGAAGACTAGTGCTTTGTGCATTTTGATATATTTGAGTTCATTTTTTCCACAATGTCATACTTTTGACACAATTGGGTTTCTCATAAGTATCCTAGTTCATGTACATCCGAATGCTAAATAATACTGTGTTTAAGTTTTGTGTTGCAAGAACAAATGGAATAAACTTGAATTGTGCTACAGCTAGTGTGTCAGCAGCATTTTTCTCAGTTACTATCAATTTCGTTTTGTAGTCATCTCTAAAACTATACCAGAAGCTTGATTGACTCAAACATTTAGTTAATCTAAATTAATGTATCCCACTTCTAGAAAAAAAAATGGAGAGAAAATAAAATATAGATTTAATTGAAGTAAACCTTACCAGTCTTTGAAAGGATTTGCTTTTGTGTCAGTCTCCTGACATTGTTTTACTATAACTTCAGTAATGCTCCTGGTTGACGGGGAACAAGGTATAGCCAACACATCCCAGAGCATCAGGATCTTCAGAGGGGTTGAAGAAAATGAAGTCGTGGTTAAACCTCTTTGATCCTTTCATTGCTCATCTAAGTTGCTCCACATTTCTTGGAGATCTGCATTTCCCAAACTCAACTACAAGCACCTTTTTAGAGTGTAATTTTCAGGATGATCACTTTGAACCTTAAAACTGAACAAAATTAAATACAAAATTAGTTTGATTGTGCTGTAATCTTGTCAACACCAGGAGACTATTCGCAGTTTACTTTTAATGATAGAAAAAAATATGTGCAGATACTAAGTTATAGCAAAAACTTTGTTTTAAAACTTTCACGTTGTTGACTGAAGTATAAATGGGGACCATGTGCGGCTTTAGGGGGAAGTGTTTACAGAAAATGTTTGAAGTTCTCATTTTAAGACTTGGAATCTAGGACCAGCGCAGTGGCTCACGCCTGTAATCCCAGCACTTTGGGAGGCTGAGGCAAGGGACATCACTTGAGCCCAGGAGTTTGAGACCAGCCTGAGCAACAGAGGGAAACTGAGTCTCTGCAAAAAATTAAAAAACAATTAGCTGGGTATGGTGACAAGTGCCTATAGACCCAGCTACTTGGGAGGCTGAGGTGGGAGGATTGCTTGAGCTTGGGAGGTTTGAGGCTACAGTGAGTGAGCTGTGTTTGCACCACTGCACTCCGGTCTAGGCAACAAAGTGAGACCCAGTCTCAAGAAGAAAAAAGAATTGGGCTCTATAAAGAAAGTTTAAATCTGGTTAAATACGTTTTAAAGGGAACAGAGTCGCCTTATATAATGATTGAAGAACAGACCCACATATATGGATGGAAGGCATACATCCAGTAGAAAGAAAGAGCTTAGAGGGGAATTAGTTTGCGATTAGAGAACAGCTGTCATAGGACTTCCATGCAGCACAGTATGCCAGACCACCATGAGATTATTTTTTTCCTCTTTCTGTAACATCATTGATTCTCAAAATGTGGTGTCTACACCAACAGCATCACCATAACCTGGAAACTTGATAAAAATGCAAACTTTTGGACTCTAGCCAAGACCTACTGACTCAAACTCAGGCTGGACCCAACAGCCTGTGTTGTAACAAGCCCTCTAGGTGATTCTGATGCATGCTGAAGTTTGAGGACCATTGAATAAGAC